GATGGAGAGTGATCGGAAGCTGCCCTTTCCAGATGTAACAGCCGTGGAAAGGAATGGAGGTTTTCACAATGCAGTCTACACTAGGGAAACGAACATAGGAATATCCCTTAATGCTAAGAGTGACTGCCCAGACAGGTACAAGAGGAGTGTTGTCAACGCTTACGTCAACCGGGCTCTCACTCACAGCTCTGGTTGGAAGCAGGTCGACGAGGAACTATGTAGGGTAAGGCAGGTCCTAGTCAACAATGGCTTCTCTAACGGTAATGTTGAAGACGTCATTAAAAGAAAGGTGACACGCCATGCTACCTCTGAGGAACCAACAGGAACTTCTTTTCCACGGCTTATAAAACGGAGGAAAGACTTCTAAAAGATATTATTGATAGGAACGTTATTCTCACAGACACCAATCAGAAGATACAATTAACAATTTCCTACAAAAACAAGAAGACGGCCAACTTGCTTATGAAGAACTCTCCAGACACCAAACAGGACGCCTTAAAAGAGATCAACGTCGTCTATGCCTTCACATGCCCACTTGGGGACTGTCAGTCCCAAAGATCACAGTATATAGGCAAGACAACAACGTCTCTCTAGACGATTAACAATGCACAAACCACAGGGCTCCATCAAGGAGCATATAACCTCCTCACACAACCAGACCATCACTAGAGACATCTCAACAAGCAACACTGAAATAATCGACATGTATAACGACAACAGGAGACTCGACATCAGCGAGGCCCTACACATCAACAAGTCAAGACCAGCAATCAACAGCCAGTTAACACAATTACATTCTACCCACTTCAAGACCCCGAACCATCACACAGAGACAGTAGAAACAAGAATATAAGCTGCTTATGTTCATGCATGTAGTGGCCTATTAATATCCATTATGTTTCATCCACTTGTTCATCTCAATCACCTACCTTGAGGTGCTTCCGGGGCTTAGCGTCCCCGCGGCCCGGTCGTCGATCAGGCCTCCTGGTTGCAGGACTGATCAACCAGGCTGTTGGACGCGGCTGCTCGCAGCCTGACGTATGAGTCACAGCCTGGTTGATCAGGTATCCTTTGGAGGTGCTTATCCAATTCTCTCTTGAACACTGTGAGGGGTCGGCCAGTTATGTCCCTTATGTGTAGTGGAAGCGTGTTGAACAGTCTCGGGCCTCTGATGTTGATAATTCTCTCTCAGAGTACCTGTTGCCTTCTATACCTATATATCACGTCCTATACCACCTCACCAAAAGCGATATATAATGTGTATATATGTGTGCGTGTGTGTGGTTTGTTTCCGAGATATTTCGACACCTTGACTTAATCTTGAGCCTATACTCAAGGTAAACCAAAAGATAATTACAACTATAGTTTACCTGTAAAACTCAGTTTCCTGGTATTGATTGTTGCAGCAGCAGCAGTTTGGAGAGTTAACGGCCCTCCCTTGCTATAGTGAGTTTATTTATATGATGTATTATTGTAGAGTCATGGTATTGCACTGCAGTTGCAAGGTAAAGTCCAGGGCGTGGAGGTGGCAACAGCTGACCGTTGCCTCCACCATGACGCAGCAAACACGTACACACTATGAAACATACTTATACGCACACGGTTTGTGTGTACACACTGTGAAACATACTAATACGCACACGGCTTTTGTGTACACACAGAAACACACTTATACGCACACGGCTTTTGTGTACACACTGAGAAACATACTAATACGCACACGGCTTGTGTGTACACACAGAAACACACTTATACGCACACGGCTTTTGTGTACACAGTGAGACACACACTAATACGCACACGGCTTGTGCGTACACACTGAGAAACATACACATCCTTCACTGGAAGGATTACGGTTAATGTTTTTGTCCCTTATTTCCCTTGCCTGTTAGGGGGTGTGAGGGGACATGATCACGGTCACCTAGATACCTCCTCCAACCCAATCACAAACCCTAGGAAGAGTTGGTGTTGACTCAGGGACAATGACGTTGCCCGGTCTCCTCGTGATTTGCCACTCTATAAACAAAAAATCTAATCTCCTAACCTAATCAAAACTTATGAACCCAAGCAACCCATCTAACGTGTGGAGTCCGATGCATAGAAAACGTAGTTAGTTGCGAGTCGTTAATTTTCATAGTAGGCTGCATTTGTAACGTTGGTAACGTGACTCCTGTGTTGAAACAAATTAGATACACCCCCGGCGCTTTGATAAGCCTGTTTTCTCAATTACCACTCCGTAAAAAATGCAACGGTTTTTGCCTAACCCGAAGCGTCAAAACCTGGGTTACCCACGTAACCTATCGGAGGCTATAATTTATTTAGGCCCCGTGAAGCGTCTAATACTGCCGTGGTTTAAATTTCCCCAAAACCACCGCAATTCTCACGTTGGGGTCGATAACGTAAACAAACTTAAGATATCCACTGAGAGGCCCAGGTCTAAAAAGAAACTAAAACATGGAAAACTGGTAGTTACATCGTCTCCCAGAACTCAATATCAAAATATAAGTATTAGTAAAAAAAATAAAAAAAAAATCCTACCAAAAATTTTTGGTAGTAAAAAATTGTTTTATTTTTTATTTTTTTTACTAAAAAAATAAAAGTAAAAAAGTAAAAGTAAAAAGTAAAAGTAAAAAAAATAAAAAAATTTCCAACCAAAAAAAATTTTTTGGTAGTAAAAAATTTTTATTTTTTATTTTTTTTACTAACTTATATTTTCACATTGAGTCCTGGGAGACGATGTAAGTATTAGTAAAAAAAAAATAAAAAAAAAAATGTTTTCCTACCAAAAAAAATGTTTTTTTCCTAAATTGGCAGTAATACAAAAAAGTAATAAATAGCCGAGAACAAAAAGTACAAATTCTTGTTCCACTCCCTGGTGAAATAATCTCACTGTTTTCAATATATTACTCGCACTCACTTTTCTTAAAACAACAATAATCAACATTTCTGATATTCGCCAACTCAAGTTTTACTTTTGAACAAGCCGGTATTAGAACAATTAGAATTAGGTATTAGAATTAGGTATTAGAACAATTAGGTATTATATATCACTGCCTTTAGAGATTCTATACGATGCTCAGTTGTTCTGATCCTTGAGGCGTTTACAAAACTTTGATGCTCCTAATTTGATTGTGATGGATTCGGATTATAAACCCAATATCATTGATGATCATCCCAATTCGTTGCTCAATTTTTACGTGTTGCGATTACTAATCTTCTTTATCTCAATAGCGAATCACTTGCAGGCTGCAGCCTCCTAACAAATAAATATCCAAATAAATAAATAAATAATTAATTAAATAAATAAAATAAAATAAATAAATATATATACATAGAAAATAATATTCATTAATAATACCTAACAAAATTTAAACATTTAAACGTAACCTTAAGCAATAAATGCCAACGAAATTTTAACGCATAAATATTTAAAACATGAAAATCGGGAGATAAAAACCGCGAAATGTCGCTGAAAAATGCCAATCACTGTTGCAAAACAAATGTACGAATCATCTCTTTTGTTTATAAGTACATCGTTAGTTTAGGGAAGCGTAACGTCAGCCCTTACCAGCTGTCATCAGCAGCTCAAACAGAAAGCTGTATACCGACAACTTCTCTCTCTTTCTGTCTCCTAAGCGGACTGACTACACGTTTTCCATTAATTTCTCTTCTCGCATGCCGGGATGTAGCCGTCAGCTGACATTAACCAAACATAAAAAGCCAACTATGCAGCCAGACACACACACACACACACAATACGAACAGAAAAGTAGGCTTCCCCCAAACAATATAGGCAGACAGGCAGAGCGATAATACAGAGAATCGGGTACACGCGCAGACACTGTAATCTTTGTGTAAGGTGCCCTTCTGATAACCTCTTGGTGAGGTGCCCTTCTGATAACCTCTTGGTGAGGTGCCCTTCTGATAACCTTTCCCTTGGCTATACAGGGCCGCTGACTGGGACCATCTCCATCGAGGGATACGCCTGGCCACTGTCTGGAGCTGGGGACCCTTACTGGCCTGAGGTCCAGATCGCCTTCCTGCCCTTCACCATCGGCAATGATTACGGCCTCATCACCGCCCACATTCTCGGCATCAAGAGAGATGTATGTGTACTCCATCACCCCATAACCCTCTCCTCTTCCCCTTCTTATTCTTATTCTTCCCCTTCCTCCACCTTGTCTGTTGAGTTTCCTGCCATTAACTTGATCGTGATTTTTGCAATTCATGATTTTCTTATGTACTGACGGACCTTGTGAAAGTTATTTGCTTCATAAATAGGCGACACGAGTCTAAAATCATGGTTAAATTTTTTTAGTCAAATTGCACTGCACTAAGTTAAGTTTGGTTATATTTGGTTAATTTATTCATTAGGAAACTGGAGAGAAACGCGTTTTTATTTTGTTACGTAATGACTTGCAAAGTTAGTGACTTAAATATAATTTTTCAGCCAAGTATTTTTTTGTTTACAGTCAAGTAATTGTAATGCCTTCATGCAATTCTTATTAGAATAGTTTAATAATAATATATAAGATGAATTCTTGCACATTTGAAGCAGTTATAATAATTGTATTATCAGAAATTAACTTATATGCCCCTAAAATTATTCGTTTTCTGTTGGCCGTAATTATTTCAAACCGTATACTTAAATAATTTTTGGTATGCTATGACTAATGTAAACCGGCTATTCGTCACTTTTAGACTTTCATATCTAAAAACAACATGACACTTATCGTTTCTTATCTCTAAACAATACACCCGGTACTTTCCCTTATCCTACTACACAAATAATATATTTACACCATCTGCCTAGACTTTGAAACCAAGAATATCAACACAGTCTTTTTCTTCCTCCCGTACAGCTGTACCACAAGTATTTCCACAGTCTGAGTGGGCGGGAAGGCTTCTCCATAGGACCCTTCCTCACCAGACCCAAGAGTAAAGGCACAGTCACCCTCAGGTCCGCCGACCCGCTCGACCCGCCACTTATCGACACCAACTTCTTCGACCACCCCGACGACATGGCGGCGTTTGTCAGAGGTAAGGGATATGGGGGCCGGAAGTGTGTGAGATAAGAGTACGGTATATATGAGGAGAAAGCGCTAAATCAGTATGCCTATACATCACTTAAAAGGGAAATGAGGACGGAGTGAAGGAACGGTACTCAAAACCACCTGGACCTCGACGGGAGACACCTCCCGTCACGCAGGGTGCAGTCGCACCTCCACAGATCTCCAGTATCAGCTCTTGATACTGGTAATGGCTCAAAAGGGCCACCCCACTTACGGGTTATTCATGCCCGTGCCACCTTTGGGTGGCTTAATCTTCATCAATCAATCAATCAACCTGGACCTCTGAATGCATGATAAGAGCTGATGAGTTGGCTAAAGAATCTGCCTTTAAAGGAGAAATTGAGTATAACCTTGGAATGTCAATAAACAGTCTGAGAGCAATAGTACACTAAGAACTTCAACAAAATCTTGAAGATCTGAGGCAAAGGTAAATCGACACCAGTAATTCTATCATATACTATCATGCAAGAGGAGCCACACATCTATTTATAATCCAATAAAATCAGCAGACTTCCAAATGTTACTACTGCTCGGCTTAGACTCTGTTACAAGTATCTCTGGGAATTCTCATTATCTATTAATGTAGACCTGACCAAATGTAAGTTAACAAAATTATTCGCACACCCTCCGTCACTGTGATGGAGAGCGAAAAAAAAATACGTGAATTCAGAGACAAATCTATAACAAGTGTTAGAGATGTAAATATTTCATTCAAAATGATCTACTAGAAATCTTAGCCAAATATCCCCAGTTTGCTAACTGTAGGTAGTAACTAAGTGATTGTAACCTATCCACCGCTGCCCATTGGATGGGGGGCGGTGTGCAGGACAAACATATCAATTGTGACACTAGCTCTCCACATATGTCAGTTGCTTAAATTAGAAACTGTATTTGTGCCCGATCTCGTGCTCATTGTGGATGTGACGATGTGCACTGAATTTTGTAACTAGCTCATCAAGATTGTAACTTGCTTAGCTAAATGAACTGTGGGGTTCAGTCCCTGAGCCCATTATGTGCCTCTGTAACCCTTTCCACTACCGCCCACAAGATGGGTATGGGGTGCATAATAAATGAACTAAACTAAACCATCGGGGATCGAACTCGACGCTGCAAAAAGTCCGGGCCATCGTTGTACCAGCCAGTCCAAGTGTATGGATGGCAAGGAACTAAGTCATTGAGGATAGCTTATGGTGTGATAGTACAGTCCGTCCTCCTAAGGTTTCCCAGCGTCAACAAAACAAGCAAATTAAAGTGCCCTCTCCTAACCTACCAGAGGACCCAAAACAGAAAACGCGACAGTACGTCATTTGTGGGAGCCGATACCATTTTCAGGTACAGAACGACAATTTTTGTCCTTAAGTAACGCATACGAGCGAAATGCAACGTTCTTTTTAAGGGGGACAGGTTGATCACACAGTAGGTCTTAAGAAGGCAGGTCTATATGAGGAAGTGATAGACAATGGAGGGAGAGGTTTAGTTATGGATAGTCACATGGACATATGAGTCATTAGGCTATCTGGTGTGGAAGATTGTCCTCACGAGAAGAGGGAAGGTTATTTAGATATAAAAATATCATCAAATAATACCCACTTGTCACTTACTGTTCCCGCAACATGCACACTCAATTAAAACTAACAATTTAGCTCATGAAATAAGTCATAAAAATGTCGAAATTGCTTGAACGACCAAAGAATAAACACTAATCCACGAATCTGGACACTAGAAGTTATCCTTCACAGAGCAACTCCAATACTTTAAACAAATTTGCATAAATCTCCAACTTAATCAACCATTCTTCAACAGGGATGAAGTTCTCAATTCAAGTGGGGGAGTCACCAGCTCTGAAATACGACTTCGATGCCGTGTTCCACAACCAGGTGCTGCCGGGGTGCGAGTACGAGGTTCTCTACTCTGACAGGTACTGGGACTGCTACGCCAGAAGTCTCACGGGGACGACCTACCACCCTTCCTGCACCTGCAAGATGGGCCCCATCTCCGACCCCTACAGTGTCGTCGACGCCCAGCTCAGGTTAGTGAGTGTGTGAGTGTGAGAGAGAGAGAGAGAGAGAGAATCACTTTATATGGAGAAAGTTGTTAGTGCCAAAGAAGTTTCATCATCAGTTATCCACACTAATAGACATCAACGAATATATATGCATTATCATTACTAATTATCTGAGTAATTCACATATATTCATTATCAAGAAAACGGTTCACGTTCACATTGATTATATGTCTCCCCCCCCCATCTCACCCTCCCACACACAGAACACAATTCTAACTGCAGGCATGTGAACAACTTAGCAATCGATGACTGTAATTTACTTATATCCCGTTCTGCTGTACAGAGTACGGAGTGTATCGGGTCTTCGCGTTATAGACGCGTCCGTCATGCCAGAGATCACATCAGGCAACATCAACGCTCCCGTCATCATGATCGCGGAGAAGGCCGCCGATATGATCAAGCTGGACTGGGGAGCCCCCGTCGTCCCGCTGGGATAATACCGAGCTAGGAAAGAGGCGCATTTGTATGGGGGTTTAACATGTTCCACCGAGTTATACCGAGTCGTGTCGCCTGCTGTCGTGTTGAGAGGCGACGCGTTCGACACACGATGTTTACTGGAGTGTTGCAAATGCTGGTCGGTTAATTCACCAGGATGCCATGCATGGTTGCCAATTGGTTCAGGTGGGGCCCAAACACACAGAACGTACAACGTTTCCTACGAGGTGATCCGTCTTTACCAGAAAGGAACCTTCACCTATCAACCACTTGTTTTTAAATGCTCCACCGATCTCTATTGAATGAGACGCCTCACAGAACACAGTCCGCTCTCTCTATCTGATTCTTGGTAAAAAAATACAAGTTTTACCTAATCAGAAATGTACGAACCCAAGCAACCCACTTAACCAATCGAGACCGATGCATAGGAAAACGTTAATATTACGGGGCTTTAAGTTTGACTAATTCGTTACATTTTTTTAGGAAATTTGACGATCCCGTAAAAACAAATTGCGACGCATTGAGGTTCTTAAGACTCGCATGAGTGGTCTGAAAGCTGAACGCGGTGAATAGGTTCAGGAACTATTGTGGGATCAGATAAGTTATTCGGCCACAAGCAATCGTCCATTGACCACCATGGCGGTGGCTTCGTGGAGGGGTTGCAGCACCGTCCTGCCATCCTAGTGACCCGGGTTCGAAGCGGCAAATTAAGCTTTCATTAACACTTGTGTGGAATACTGTTGTTGAACTCTAATCCAGTTTCACTCACCCTTGACTGACTGACTGATTCAGTGAAGTAAGCTGAAACTATATTTATTTTTATATACTAAACAATTTGAGAATATTCTCAGGAACAAGTACATTAGTTAAGTCTTTTAAACTTGCTTTCGATAGACTTTTATCGCTAGTGCAAAGTTACCAGACTTATCTCAAAGTTTTTTAAGTGATGTGCTGAAAACTTGGAAAAATGTTCATCTCTAAATATTGACAAACGTTCGTATCTATAGCAACGTTTTGTTTGAACGTGGAAGATGCTAAATGGTTCCAACCGTTGCATCAAAACTGGAAAAAAACATGAGATTCTTTGTATACAGCAAAACATTTAGAGGAGCTCTGATATAATGCAGGAACGTGGGATATGATAAGATACAGCCACGTTCACCAAACGTGGAGGAAACAAGATACAATCATGCGCATTAAACGTGGAAAATACAACCATACGCAAAAAAAATGGGAAAATACAACCATAAAACGTGGGAGATACAAACGTGGATACGATACAAACACCTGCTTATGATGTGAACCCCTAACTCAAGTTACAGGTCTGTCATCCTAGTATACAGGAGTGTGATGAGGCTACGCTCAAGAACTAGTCTCTTGGTTGTGCCAGGGTTTGTTTTCAAAACAATTGTCATGTTATTTTGAAGCCATATTTTATTTCTGAGCTGTGGCTCAATTTTATTAGGATTTGTAATGCACCGATTACAAAAAATGCATCGCATTTTTATTACTATCATTATTATTATTTATTATAAACTTTCAAGAGGAGTCGGACTGCATTTATTATGCTTGATTGTACAGCTACCGCAGTCATCCTATGGCCAAATATTTGTTCCACTGCGGTAAATGTACGCACCTAGATTCATTTTCATATGGTACAAAGATGAATTAAAATTCTGCATGTATACAGTTCTTCCATAAAATGCTCAAGTCTGCATGTATTTAATTCTGAATGCCTCTAAGAAAACTTTTTTGTTTCTTTGTGTAATTAAAAATACTAAACATGTTGCTCTTAACACAAATGCTGTACAAATTCCCTGTATTTAAAAGTAATAATGTTGATATGACAAACATGCACAAGCATGTATGTAAATAAAAATTACTAGACACGTCTGTCAAAACTATTGACAAGATTAATATAATGTATTACTGACGACGTGTGTATTTAATTGTTTAGTATGATGATATACAAATCTAGCATCGTCTAGAACTGAAGACGTGTCCAGAGAGGCCTGGAACGCATGTCGTGTATCTAGTATAATCTAGAACTTAATAACTCATGGATCTATATTTATATGTCTTGTCCTATCCTAGTGTGCCGAGTGTTCCCCCCCCCCCCCTAATGTCCGGGGGGAAATACATTGTTGTATATTGTATAAATATGAGTGTGTGTATGCAATTGATCCACATTGAATATAACAGATTCGACTAGATGCTTTCGGTCAAAGTATATGACCATTGCTACAGGCAAAATGCGGCATGTGGCAGCATTAGTCTTTGACAGTAGTCATGTAATGTGACTGAAAGCGCTCAGTCGATTTAATTTTCAACGTGGATTACGTGCGCTTATTGAGATCGGTGTCTTTGATCTTTATTTGCTTTGAGTGTGTATATATATTATAATAATAAACTTATTCATGGCGTAAAACATGTTTAATATCCTGACAAAGTTATAGTTCTTTGGCTTTATAAATGTTAAATTACAAGAGTGAATATGTATTAAATTGCAGATAATATACCTCAAACATGTCTTATTGAGATAGAATACTGAACAAGATTTGATAACTATTACAAATCAAACCTAATACGTCAGTTCACACGACAGCCTAATACGCCAGGCCACAATGGCAGCCTAATACGCCAGGCCACAATGGCAGCCTAATACGCCAGGCCACAATGGCAGCCTAATACGCTAGGCCACAATGGCAGCCTAATACGCCAGGCCACACGACAGCCTAATACGCCAGGCCACAATGGCAGCCTAATACGCTAGGCCACAATGGCAGCCTAATACGCCAGGCCACACGACAGCCTAATACGCCAGGCCACACGACAGCCTAATACGCCAGGCCACACGACAGCCTAATACGCCAGGCCACACGACAGCCTAATACGCCAGGCCACACGACAGCCTAATACGCCAGGCCACATGACAGCCTAATACGCCAGCCACACGGTAGACTAATACGCCAGGCCACAAAAGGTAGCCCAATACGCCAGTCCACTAAGTATGTGGAATAATTAGAATTCCAGGTACATAAACAAAATTCATCCACGGTGCAACCACGTGGTTATTACACAAGTCAGTCACCCTGCCCCCCCCCCCTCAAAAAAAAAAAAACGTTGACGCAACATATGACGTCATATACATTTGACGCATTTTGAGTGTTCAGATCACATTAAAATATCCTAACACACACTTAAGAAATAAATTAAAATCATTAAATCAACAATAAATTGGGGTGGGTTTGATTAGTTGCGTTACGAATTTAATTTAATTGCGATCGTCAGGCAAAGTTCTTTTCTATTGCATTTTCAATGCCAGTGATAAATGTTTGGATGAGATAGGCATTTGTTGCAAGTTCTGTACTCACCTAGTTGTGCTTGCGGGGGTTGAGCTCTTGCTCTTTGGTCCCGCCTCTCAACCGTCAATCAACTGATGTACAGATTCCTGAGCCTACTGGGTTCTGTCATATCTACATTTGAAACTGTGCATGGAGTCAGCCTCCACCACATCACTGCCTAATGCATTCCATTTGTCAACCACTCTGACACTAAAAAAGTTCTTTCTAACGTCTCTGTGGCTCATGTGGGTACTCAGTTTCCACCTGTGTCCCCCACCCGTGCAATCTGGTACAGTATATCTGATGTGTATACTTTTGTGTAATGGGTACCAGAGCAATTTCCACACTGTCTCTTGTGTATACTTTCGGGGGTATAGTTAAATACTTTACATGTAAAGTATTAAGATGGACGTGGTAGGTCCACCTACCTCGTTTACAGAGCTATTCATCGATCCAAACCCGATGAGGTGATGAGTAGTCTAGAAGATAGGGCTGTACCTGTAATACTCAGTTCTCAAAAATACGCCTATCCGTCGATAAAGGAAATTATATGAATAGTTTTCAAACCAGGAGAATTTTTCTTACCTTGGTTGAGCGGTGGTACTCGAGTGGCGTGGGGACGGCCTCCTCCATTCCTCCTAGATGTCGCTTTCCATCTGTTTCTGCCCAGGAAAATACCGTCTTTATCATCCACAGAGGGCGGAAGACCATCAGCATCAACATGCGTGCCATGTTAAGGTGGTTTCTCGGAATCCTCGGCGATATCGTGGGTTTCAGTGGGAGAGACACGCGGCACGTCCCTGCAGTCTTCACGCCATGATGCACTCCGTTCCCTGCCCGACCCTTTTCCAGGGCTGACGACTATAATTTTAGTTTTACATCCAAAATAGACTTTAACAGCATCTAAAATTATCTATATCAGATATGCATCTGAAAAATATATTACGTATTACTGATCTTCCAGTGCAGTTCATGAAAATATAAATAATATATCATTGAAATTTATTGATGACCAAACCTCACACTAGAAAGTGAAGACGACTGGGGGGGGGGGGGAGGTAGAAATAGCCTAAGCTACTCTATCCCTTTGAGATGTATTTCTTTCTTGTCTCAATGAACATACTTGAACGTGGAGTAATTACTACAAAATATCATACCATTATCACACATCAAAACAATTTGATATGGTACACTACTTATTTCTATAGTTATCAATAAGTTGACACTAATACATAATGTTCTAAGGTGTGGGCGTGCGGCATACTACATAATTTACACTCATCTTTTTCACCGACATCAACACCGTATTGCCAGATATATTTGTATCCTAATCTTAATCTTCATCGTCTTGAACTTCATCTTTAGAACTATAGATAGGTCTGTTTGAGAAGAAACTTTCAAGATAATTATTATTATCTGCTTTGTAGATAGCGATTGTATCGATGTCATTGAACATCTTGGATAAATGTTCGTAAACTACAACATTTCTTTAATCTGATAAACTGAATTTGGCCATCAAAATGGCATTCAGCAATTATAATTTTATTTTATTTCTCATTTTAGATTTGATGCAATTCATCGAGCTGAATACTCTATTTCAGCATTTGGATGTGGTAATATCAATATTAGATGTCCATTAGATGCCATGGACTATGATATGGCATTAGATGCCATGACAAATTTGCTAATTTCTTCAAATGGATTTGAACCGGAGGCATCTTTAAGGCATCTTTAAATTGAAGAACAGAATTCTTTCCTGGAGTATATTTATTTTATAATTCCAACTAAATCCTCCGTAAATAGGTTCCTATACAAGTTAGTCAGCTTGACATTGCATCCTAGGGAGGGTCTGTAGTTCTTCCTTGGTAGGGGAGGGGGGAAGAGACCGTGATACAAGCCTAACATGTGTATATACACTGGTTGCCTGTCCCTCGATAATGTGAATTACTGCAACACTACCAACTGGTAAATATAGTATGAAGTGACTCAAAAAGTACGATTCAGGTTATAACATACTACAAGCGAACCATGCAAAAAGCTTCTCGGCCCATGCCTACAACTTCTACATGAACTATTCTCAAAAGGATATTATATATCCAACTAGCAAAGACTTTGCAGCCAAATGGAAAACATATCATGCCTTTCAAATGGTTAGTCCCCGTTATCTAACCAATTGCCTTCCCGTGAGAAAAGTGGTAACACTCGCCTGGCGTTTCGCGAGCGCTTTGGCCTGGGTTCGTATCTTGGCCGGGGAGGATTTACTGGGCGCCAATCCTTAACTGTAGCTTCTGTTCACCCAGCAGTGAGTGGGTAACTGGTTGATAAACGATTTGGCGAGTCGTATTCCGGGGGAAAATTAGGATTAAATACTTGCTATGCTACGCTATGCGTGCTAGTGGTTGTACAAGAATGTAAGAACTCTTGTATAAAAAAAAAAATACCGTGGAACTATAAAAAAAGGCCTGGGGCCGGATTCAGGAAGGTACTTACGAAGGTTTTTCCTCTTAGCTAAGAACGAATTCCTTCTTAGCGCCTTCGTGGCGGCTACGTCCGTATTCAAAGAGCTACCCTAAGAGGAAAAATCTTCGTAAGTTCATTCCGGGATTTAAGTGTGGTTTCGACCACTCGTAGCTTTACGTAAACTGGATATAAGTCATTTTTTCTCTAATACATAACACTGGGATCGATTTATGATATTGGAACATGACCAAAACATTATAGCTGGTGAATCTAGTGGAGAGTAATCCTTCGTGTTAGTTATATATGCATTCTCTGCTTGAAACTTGAAGTAAATATGTGTTTGATGATAATAGAATTAGTTTTATAATAGCAAGATATTATACCAGTAGTTATTAAGTAAATAAACACTGGTGAACATGAAATATGAGAGAAGGTGATGAGCCCTGCCTGATGGGATCATTTACTATCACCAAATGCCCCTGTTCACCTAGTAGTAAGGGTGTACCTTAGCTATACATACCCATTTCTAATTTATTTAGTTTGGTTTTATTTTTAAATTAAATCTGGGTGAGACATAAAATAAAAATATGCTGCACAAATGATGTTAGGTAAGGAAAAGGGTAAAAATGTCAAAAACTTTATTCATTGAATACTTAAAGCTATAATTATGACTATATAGGTTATTAAAAAAGAGAGAGGGAAGTAGGGGTCCAAGACCTCTTCCTGTTATACAATTTGGGTGTGGAACAAGTAATTATCAAAAGAAGGCACCATGCCGGGAAGGCTATGTAGCAGTGAGGCAGCTACTTATTTGAGAAATGCTTATTTTATTTACCTTATAAGCTGAGGCAACTTATTTTATTTGAGGAATACTCAGCTGATTCCTCTACATTTAGCATGGAACAAATTTGTGTCCAAGACCTCTTCCTGTTACTCAATTTGGCTGTGTGTAACCAAACTAGAAGTGCTCTACAAATCAAGGGACCCAGAATGTGGAATGACCTCCCGAATCATGTCAACGGCTGTACCTCTCTCCACCAGTTTAAGAGTTAAACCAAGTACTGCCTAATTAACTCCATGTAACCTAACTTACCTCCTAAATGTCAACCCATGTCTTGCTATTTTTTAAACAACGCTGTTCACCAACATGTGCAATTGCTGATATATGCTATGTTAACCCCCTTTTTGTATTTTTTATTCCTTCTTTCAACACAATTTATACCTAATCCCGATTACTATTAAGTTTTAGTCTGTTTTTTTCCCCCCACACCTTGCCCGAAATGCTAGAGTATTAGTGGCTTTAGGTATTGTATGTACTAGCTCTGCCTATAAATCCAACATTATGTTTGTAAATCAACTGTATGTACTTTTCCTGAATAAAATGTATTTATTATTTATTTTTTAATCAGTAAGTATTAAAAAAGAAGGCACCAAGCTGGGAAGGCTATGTAGCACCATTGTGTGTAACAATAAACCAAATTTTTTTAACAAATAATGCACCTGTATGGGAAAACAAATCCTGTCAGCTGTAAAAATATTGATGCAGTTATTTAAATGAAAAATATAATGAAAGAAATATTACTGGTTTATTTTTTCCTATCTTTTTGTACTGTACAGTATATCC